TTGTATAACAATTAAAGAATTTTACTTTATAAAGAGAAGAACAAATTGGGGGGGGGTGGACAGGGAGAAAAGTGCAACAATGAATGAATGGATACCCTAAGTCTCTGTAAACTTTCATTAAAATTAATTTTTAGAAAAGGGGGGGGAAGAAATGCCAAGTGACTTCAGCCCTGTGGATTTTCTGATTCCAGCTCTTTACACATTTCATCATAATATTTTACTTTTTCCTCTTGTGCTGCCCTTTGAAATCTGTTCAGCTCCTTAATTTTTGGCCCTCAAGTGGGCATTGCTTTTATTGGTTCCCAGTCTTCTGAGACTAGTCATACATAGCCTAGCCCCTCCCAGGGACCTGCGGGCTCCTTGGGATTTGGCTCCCCTGCATTCCTAACAAGTGGGCTTCTTCCTGATGTAACTTGGTGCTACTGTTTTTGTCTCACCTTCCTATTTCCTCTGGGAAATCTCACATTTAGTGTTTATTATGAGGGAGAGAGACACTAGACAAGTACCAATTCTATCCCTTGACACGTAGACATAAATTCTATCCCTTAACATATACACATATGCTTAATAGCTGTCACATAGTCAATGTTAATGCTTATCACTTGTAGATATTTTATTACCACTCTGGATAAGACTCATGTCAGAAGAGAAAGACACAGAAGTCTAGACACCTGGGAGCTCAGATGGTCTAGTCTTTAGGGACTTGTTCTGCTGTCTCAAAGGTGGCATCTCTCTAGCAGTTCAAATCTACCCACAGCTCTGAGGGATAAAGATGGGCAACTCCACAATTTCTTTTCCAGACACTTGGCTTAGAAACAATACTTGTAATTTTTAAAACAATATAATTTATTATTTTAATTTGCATATTGTGATGAAATCAACATGAAGAAAAATAATGAGGCACACTGATTTGTATAATATTACCCAGATAATAATAACAGGACTAATACTGAAATCTGGCTTTCTGGCCTTTAATTCTATGCTTGGAATCACAGAACTTTAGTTAAGTTAAATGTTCATTACCCTGAAATGTCTTAGGCTTTGTGAGAATTTGAGAATCAGGAAACAATCTAGACTTATCTTGGAAGACTTTTTTTCATTTTTAAATATCTTCTATTATT